TCTGTTGTGATATTGCCTTTTTCATCCCGTATGCTAGTAATTTGAGTTCTCTCTCTTCTTCTCTTCACTAGCATCGCTAAGGGTCTGTCGATTTTGTTTATTTTTTCAAAGAACCAACTTTTAGTTTTGTCAATTTTTTCAATTCTTTCTTTTGTTTCGATTTCATTAATTTCAGCTCTGATTTTAATTATTTCTTGCCTTCTACTTCTTTTGCTGTTGTTTTGCTCTTCTTTTTCAAGGATTTTGAGATGAAGTATGAGATCATTTATTTGTTGTTTTTTTCTGTTTTTAAGGAATGAACTCCAAGCAATGAATTTTCCTCTTAGAACTGCTTTCAATGTGTCCCATAGATTCCGATATGTTGTGTCTGTGTTTTCATTTATCTCTAAGAATTTTTTAATTTCCTCCTTCATGTCTTCTATAACCCATTGATCATTCAGTAACCTATTGTTCATTCTCCAATTGATGTATGCTTTTTCCTTCCTTCTTTTATCGTTGATTTTCAGTTTCATTCCATTATGATCAGATAAGATGCATGGTAATATCTCTACTCCTTTATATTGTCTAAGAGTTGCCCTGTGACATAATATATGATCTATTTTTGAGAAGGATCCATGTGCTGCTGAGAAAAAAGTGTAACTGCTTGATGTTGGGTGGTATAGTCTATATATGTCAATTAGGTCTAGGTTATTAATAGTGTTATTGAGTTCTATAGTTTCCTTATTCAACTTTTGTTTGGAAGATCTGTCCAGTGGCGAGAGAGGTGTGTTGAAGTCTCCCATGATTATGGTGTGGTGGTCTATTAGACTCTTGAACTTGAGAAGAGTTTGTTTGACGAACATAGCTGCACCATTGTTTGGGGCATAAATATTTATGATTGTTATGTCTTGTTGGTGTATGGTTCCCTTAAGCAGTATGTAGTGTCCCTCTTTATCTCTTTTGATTAACTTTGGCTTGAAATCTATTTTATTTGATATGAGTATGGACACGCCTGCTTGTTTCCGAAGTCCATATGAGTGATATGATTTTTCCCAACCTTTCACCTTCAGCCTATGTATGTCTTTTCCTATCAAATGCGTCTCCTGTAGGCAGCATATTGTTGGGTCTTGTTTTGTGATCCATTCTACTAGCCTGTGTCTCTTAATTGGTGAGTTTAAGCCATTAACATTTAGGGTTATTATTGAGATATGGGTTGTTCTTCCAGCCATATTTGTTTATTTCTGTTACTAAACATGGTTTGTTTTCCTCTTTGATTGTTTCCCCCCCCCTTTACTGTCCTACCTCCCACTGTTGGTTTTCATTGTTATTTTCCATTTCCTCTTCCTGTAATACTTTGGCTAGGATGTTTTGAAGAGATGGTTTTCTAGCTGCGAATTCTTTAAACTTTTGTTTATCGTGGAAGGTTTTAATTTCATTCTCCATCCTGAAGCTTAATTTCGCTGGATACACAATTCTTGGTTGGAACCCATTATCTTTCAGTGTTTGAAATATGTTATTCCAGGATCTTCTAGCTTTCAGAGTCTGTGTTGAAAGATCAGCTGTTATCCTGATTGGCTTGCCCCTAAATGTAATCTGCTTCCTTTCTCTTGTAGCTTTTAAAATTCTCTCCTTATTCTGTATGTTGGGCATCTTCATTAGAATGTGTCTAGGTGTGGATCTCTTATGATTTTGCACATTCGGCGTCCTGTAGGCTTCTAGGATTTGGGATTCTGTCTCATTCTTCAAGTCTGGGAAGTTTTCTTGTATTATTTCATTGAATACACTGCTCATTCCTTTGGTTTGGAGCTCTGTACCTTCCTGTATCCCAATGACTCTTAAGTTTGGTCTCTTAATGTTATCCCATATTTCTTGGATGTTCTGCTCATGGTTTCTTAACAGTCTTGCTGAGCTGTCTATGTTCTTTTCCAGTTGAAATACTTTGTCTTCATTGTCTGATGTTCTATCTTCTAAGTGTTCTACTCTGTTGGTAGTATTCTCCATTGAGTTTTTAAGTTGGTTTATTGCTTCCTGCATTTCTAGGATTTCTGATTGCTTGTTTTTTATAACCTCTATCTCCCTGTATAGTTGATCCTTTGCTTCCTGGATTTGTTTGCGTAATTCGTTGTCGAAGTGATCTTTCATTGTCTGATTTTGCTGTTTAATGTCTTCCTTGATACTCCAGATCATCTGAAGCATGTATATCCTGAATTCTTTATCTGACATTCCATCTGCTGCAGCTGTTACCTCTTCTAAAGTTGCGTTGACCTGCATTGCTTGTGGTCCTTTCTTTCCTTGTCTTTTCATACTGCTTGCGTATCTTTCCTGCAGGTGCGGGCGGCGGCTCTGCTCTCTCCTTATTCCAATTGGGGTGTCGTGGCTACCACGCCGGCAGGTCACTGGGCCTGTTCTGGGAGCTGGTGGCGGCTCTGTTCTGCCCCTACTCCAATTGGGGTGACGTGTCTGTCGTACCAGCAGGCCACTGGGCCTGTCCCGCTGGTCGGTCGCAGATCTGCCCACCTTTCGGGCACGGGTGGAGGCTCTGCTTTGCCCCTACTCCAATTGGGGTGTCGTGACTACCCCGCCTGCAGGATGCTGGGTCTGTTCCTGGCAAGGGAGGCGACTCTGCTCTGTCACTACTCCAATTAGGGTGGTGTTTGTACCACGCCGGCAGGCTCCTGGGCCTGATCCGCCGGTCTGTTGTAAGTCTGCCTACCTTGAAGGCGCGGGCGGCGGATCTGTCCTGCCCCTCCTACCATGCCTGCGGACCCCTGGGCCTGATCTGCAGGTTGATCACTGGTCTGCTCACCCTGCGGGCACGGGTGGCGGTTCCGCTCCACCCCCACTCCAATTGGGGTCACGTGACCACCACACCGGCAGGGCCTGATCCGGGCGTGGGATAAGGATCTGCTCTGCCCCTACTCGAGTTGGGGTGACGTGTGTACCACACTGGCAGGCCACTGGGCCTGACCCGCCAGGCTGTCACAGGTCTGTTTACCTTGCAAGCGCGAAGGGCGTCTCTGCCCTGCCCCTCCTACCACGCCCATGTACTACTGGGTCGTGGGTCTGCCCACCTGGCGGGTGTGGGTGGCGGCTCCGCTCCGCCCCCTCTCCAATTGGGGTCACGCGGTCACCACGCTGGCGAGCCGCTGGGCCTGCTCCGGGGGCTGGCGGCGGCCCGGCTCCTTCCCTCTGGCTCGAGGACAAATTGAGGAGACTCGGGTGACTGAGCCTCATCCCCCTTACCAGGAGACCAACTGCTTATGTCACCGCTGGTATTGATGAAGATCTCTCCTCCACCGCTTTCTGCTGACATCAGATCTCTGCCATGTTGGTATCCTATGCGAATGGCAGCATTTCGTTCCCCTTGCCGGGCAACCCAAGCAATGGGTGAGTCCTGACCTGCCCTCAGCAGGACCCGGACCGAGACACAGTTTCCGCGGGCTCCTAGCCCCGGTCCAGGGAAGTTCCGGGAGCCGGTACTTGGCCGCTCCGTGCTCGGTGTAAGCTCCTATAAGTGTAAGCTCCAAGAAGCAGCCCCCGCGGGCTCAGTTCCGGGAGCCGGAATTCGGCCGCTTAGTGCTTGGTGTATGCTCTGATAGTAGCAGGGTCCAAGAAGCAGCCTCCGCGGGCTCCGCAGCCCTGAGCCAGGGCGGTTCCGGGGACGGTTCCGGGAGCCGGAACTCGGCCGCTCTGTGCTCGGTGTAAGCTCCTATAAGTGTAAGCTCCAAGAAGCAGTCCCCGCGGGCTCAGTTCCGGGAGCTGGAATTCGGCTTCTTGGTGCTTCGTGTTTGCTCTGATAGTAGCAGGGTCCAAGAAGCAGCCTCCGCAGGCTCCGCAGCCCTGAGCCAGGGCGGTTCCGGGACGGTTCCGGGAGCCGGAACTCGGCCGCCCCGCGCTCCGTGTTCACTCCGATAAGATCAGATTTTAAGAAGCCCCCAGGCGCTGAACCCTAGCAATCTGTCTGCAAGCCGCAGGCGAATTGCAGCCTGAAATTACCTGTTCTATGGCTGAATGAGCTGCGGTCAGTCAAAAACAGGTGTGGTGACGTCAGTTTACCAACATGGTGGCTGCTGGCCTCCTCTGTGGTCTGACCGGTGTGGAGAACCGAGATGGACCGCTTCCTTCCCCCGTCTCGAACCCAGAATTCAGCCCTGAGTGCGGTGCTTGCGCGTCTGGCAGAAACTGCAGTGCTGTAACCCTGCGTCTCTATCCCAGCGCGCCTTGCAGACTCTAGCCGCGGGGCAATTTGCTTAATAAGCAGTGTTACCCTCCGTGCGACAAACCTCTCGCGTTTGAGTCCCCGTAGCCGATCCTCATGCGATGGAAATCCTTCCTCCAGGTTCCGGCGCACCCCACTATTGCTGGAAATTCCTAACAAGATATCCTTTAGCCGTCCTGACTTGTCATACTCCCACACAGTGAAGCAGCACACGGGGGTAATGCACTCCCCTCGCCGCCATCTTCCCTCAAAGGGTAACAAATTGAATCAGCAAATCTATTGCATCTCCTTATACTGAGATCTCTCTGGAAATGCTTCATTTACCTGATGAAATGCATGAAAAATGGGACTGAGTGCCAATGAAACTCTGCCCACTGTGGGATGAAAGATCGTTGCCCTGTTAAGACAGAGCATCATTCAGCCTTGAATCATTTACAAGGAAATTTCCAGGTATTTACATTCCAAAGATTAACATTTCATCAGGTTCAAGGGCTCCATGCACAGTTGTTACTGGAGCAAATCAAAGACCATATCTCCTCTGCTCACCTTTGGCTTCTTAACCTTCTTTTTCAGTAGCTTTTCTCTTTAGGAACCAATTTTGGCCATCATTTTAGCTTTGTTTTAGGCTCCAATAACTAAACCAAAAATAGCTTAATCAAGACAGTTTTTTTTTTCTCCCACAACCATTTCTGAATTCTTTCTTATCTCAAGTGCTTTCTTTAATTAGCCAATACCATTTAACTTATGAATTGTAAACATTAGCAATCACATGATCCCATTTGAAATGCTTGCAAAATGTTTTAACATTACTTTTCATCATGTAAGTTCCTGTTGTATGTTTCTTTACTTTACTTTTATTTTTTTTTTCCAGGAATCGACATGAGCATGTGTACCTTTTAAAATCTCATTGACAACTAGATATTATCAAGTGTCAGCAAAACTGCCTGCTTCCTGTAAGTTTCCACTCTTAAAATTCTTCAAACTTAGTTCTGTGGCAAATTATGGTTTAGTGACTGGAGCAATCAGAGTTGCACACACACCACATTCCAGGCTAAGCCCTTATGTTAAGTACAGCTCAGTCTTAATTTATTACAGAATTTTCTTGCAGTTGTGCCCATACAGATCTTCTCATGAACATGCCAAGAGCATAAAAGCAAAGCATATTTTTGCATATCACACAACAGTCCATGTGCCGAAAAAAAATATAAATCCATACTATTATTAACATTTTTCCTCATGGGATAAAGCCTTAAGAGAAATATAATGTAACAGGAAGTTCATTTGTTAGCAAGCCAAGAAAAAGTGAGACTAGAAAATCCAAAAGGAAGCTGGATCTACATGATTTTTTCCTAGGTAATGTAAGTGCTTACAATCTGCCAAGAATTATTTAGTTTTTTATGCATTAAAATCATTTAGCATTCAGGGGGTATTTAGAATGTAGATATAATTCTCATTGTATAGTTTTGGAGACTGAGGATAACAGGATCAAGCTAAGCAGCTCCTAAGATGTGGAGCTGAATTCCAGTGCAAACTCCAGAGTGGTGAATGCTCCTTCCAGAGTGCCTAAGACTGGCAGAAGAAGTTCTTCTGTTACAGGTCCTGATTACAGCTGAGGAAGGAGAGAGAAGTGAATCTTCCACCCCAACAACTCCAACTTCTTTGTGGGTCAAAAAAGGTGTATACTTTGAAAGATCTGTTTTTAAACCTTGCTTGAGAGCCACTCTTAAAAGTTTCTCAAGCTTTCATTGGGATGGTATGATGACACAAAAATTATATTAACAGCCTGTGTTACACAAAGAATCTTAAGAAAGTTAATTTAAATGTCTATAAGGAAATTGCCAGGTAAAGAAGGGTGAGACAGAGGAAGTGATTCCAGGTAGAGAGTCTCTGGTGGAGGAAAAAAAAAAAAGGAAAGAAATAAAGAAAAAATTGCCCTAATGCCAAACTTTGTAGAACTATTAGAACAAACCAACTGATACATCTGCCCCCATGAAATGCACCATCCAATTCACTTCACAAATCCTCTACAATTATCATGAACTTAATTTGTCCCTCTAAAATGGCTGACTGCATGGCATTGAATTCAATGAAGAAGTAGGACCACAAGTAAAAAAAGGAAAAGGAAAACTAAGTGTCCACCAGCCTCCATGGAGACAGCGAGAGCTATGCCTGGCAGGGACAAGCTTTTACTGTAACTGGAAAACACCAAAGTGAATTAGGCAAGCCATATCTGACCATGACACATGACTTTAGCACAGATATATAGAAAGTCTCCTTCTCTCTTTAAATAATGTCAGAGAATCCAATTGAAATCAGAGATCATTTTACTATGTGAATGAATATACTATTGGGCTGGGGATATAGCTCAGTTAGTAGAGTGCTTGCCTCGAATGCAGGAAGCCCTAGGTTCAATCCCCAGCACCGCCCCCCCACACACATACAAATGGAAGATGAATATAATATGCATCACATATAAATTATATTTGATAGAATTTTATGGTTATTATATAATTTTAATGTAAAAGTAAATTTGTTTAGGATATAAGCTACATGCTGAGAGTTCAAATGGGGGTGAGAGTTTCAGCTTCAACACTTGACATTATTAGCTATATAAACTTGAAAATCTCATGTCGTTTCCAAGCCTCTGTTAGGGATTTTATAACATGAAGGTAGGTTTTTAAGGTGTTACAAGGTTTAAGTGAGGAAGCACCTAACGCACAGTAGAAACTCATAATATTAATTCTTTTTCTCATAATATTTTTACACTTTAAATCCCATCTAATTACACAAGAGGATTTGAAGCCGTCTTTTAAAGTAAGAAAACAAAAACAGATAAAATTGAACATGACAGAAAGAGCAGAATTCATTCACAGGAAAAGGTCTTACAATTTTATTAAGAATATATTCCTTTGGAATTCCTGTGAATTGTTACTCTCTGAAGGAAAGATTCAGGTTGCTGAAATTTACATTGTCACTCTAAAGGTACCCTTCACTTTACATGCTATTACCTGAAAATCTTTCTGACATTCAAACTTAGTGAATTGGCTTTATTTTTGCTTCTTGAGTGATTTCAGTTGGCTTATTTCCATAATACCTGAATTGCATGTTTGTAAGCTGCCAATATTTTATTGTTTTGAGTTTTTTCCTACACAAGTCAATTTAGTTGTTTTGGTTTAGTCAAATTCTATAGGGGATAGTATACAGTGTGCATTTCTTATAATGATCTAAGTGACTGACATTTTCTTTACTTTGCTAAAATGATGAATGGGATTACTTAGAATCTCAAGTCAAGTAGGAAGGAGGCTATGTGCTGAATTCAGATTGTATGAAGGAAAAATGCAATTCACTCTACTAAAGTTGAATCTGTTTAATTTCTTTGTGAATGAAATTCCCTGATGGGAAACCATTTGCAGACAACTGGGGCCTACCTTCTGCCAAATCTTGCAACAAATGTTGAGGATATATTTTTCTATAATGTCTTATAGAGACTTTATTCTCTAGACCCTGAGTGTGTTTACCTGAAGGTATCGAGACTTATACTCAAAGGACTATAAACATTTTGGAAAGACCTCCAGTCCTCCAAACACTGAGTGGGAGTGGATCTTGGGATGGGGATGGTATGAGGGTCTCAAGGCATTTGGAGACCTATGACTTAAAAATAAAGTGGGCTGGGTGTTGTGGCACAAGTCTGGAATCCCAACAGCTTGGGAGGCTGGGATAGAAGGATCAGGAATTCAAAGCCAGCTTTAGCAATGGTGAGGCGCTAAGCAACTCAATGAGATCCTGTCTCTAATAAACTACAAAATTGGACTGGGGATGTGGCTCAGTGGCTGAGTGCCCTGGAGTTCAATCCCCAGTACTAAAATAAATAAATAAATGTATAAATACAGTGGGAAGATATGAGTTTAGTTAGAAAATAATAGTCAAGTTTTTAAAGTAATATTGTCACTTAAAAATTGGCACATTTCCTAGACTATGTTTGTAATTTGTAGAATAATATTTTTTAAAGTTTAGAACTTAACAAATAATAAATTTAAAGGAATATAAATTAAACATTTTTATATTTTAAACTAAGACATGAGATTATGCTTAAGCTATGCATTAATAGGAGTACTTTGACCTTCAAGTCTCCTTACTGAATTTACCTCCTGCCTTATATTCTTGGAGCACTTCCAAATGGAAGTAGGACTCCAGAGTGATATCGGTTACAACCACTCCTTTCCCACTCATCTGTCAAAATCCTAAATTGCCACTCAATAATTTCAGATTTGCCAATTTGCTCAATTTTCTGTCAAACAGAGACCTATCTAATTGAAAATCATCTAAAGAAGGGAGAAGTTTGTGTGAAGTGGGAAGGTAGGAATGGTTTTTACTTCCAAATAGGAATCTTTAGAATTGAAATTTTGTATTGCTGAAATTCCACAACTAGACTTTGCATCCTTTTTATGCTCCAGAAACCTCTCAACCCCAAGGATAACCCTACAATTCTCCTCAAAGAAAGACACAACAGTATGAAAGAGGTATGCATGGAAAATCAAAGAGAGAGAGAGAGAGAGAGAGAGAGAGAGAGAGAGAGAGAGAGAGAATATGAAAGACAGTTTAGATTATAAAAGACCAAAACACAGTCAGTCTAAATGGGGAAATAAAAAGGATTTGGTAAAGAAGAAACAACAAAACAAAACAAACAAACAAACAAAAAATACCGAGAAACCTCACTCACCATTACCACTCCTAGAGCCTTGTCATAGTCCAGAGCACTGTGATGTTAGAATTTTTTTACCAATCTCTCAGTTTTTAAAACTTGTAATTTGCTCTCTCATTGGCAAAATGATTAATTGCAAATATTTCTCTTTAATGATAGAGATTCATTTTTAAAATTTATTATAAACTGTAATATCTGGACTTGGGTATGATATGTTGCTCAAGTCTAGGGCTTGGGTTTTTGGTTTCCACTGTAGACCCCCTACTTATTCACAAAATCTTTTAATGTATATTTCTTGAGTAGTTATTATATGACTACTTAAGGCTTGCTTTGAGTATACAATGATGCATATGATGTACAGGACATGTGACCCAAGTAAGAGATGATGCTGGACTGAACTAGGTAGGTAGGTCACATAGGAAATTCATTTATTCATGCAACAATGTTTATTGAGTGCCTTGAAGAGACCTGTTCTTGCAAAATGGGTAGACCATAAATAGGCAATTATCAATTAACTGAGGTCTCAGTTGTTTCAAGGTAAAATGAAGACAATAGTATGTGTTCCAGCTGGGTTGTTGTGAGTGTTTATGGAGATAATCATACAAATGAAATCACTGAGACAGCAGTGCAGTGCCTTGTTGTCATGAATTTTACATTAATGATAAAGCAATGCTGGCAATTAACAAGCAAGACAGAATATTTCAGATCCCATAAATGCAGGACAATCAAAATAGGTTGATGAGGCAAAGAATGATTGCGGGAAAGAGATGAGGTTAAGTTGAACAGTGAAGTAACACCAGGGTCACCAAAAAACAGGGCCCCAAAAATCTATATAGGGTTATGTGTAAATGCTACTACATCATACAGAGCATCCTAGAATGTCTTTGCAGTTTGGACTCTTCTAATGGTAATAGTAAATTTTTTAAAAAAAGTTTAGTATGATAAGTAGATTTTAAAAAGATCATTTATATCTTTGTGAGCAAAAATAAAGTTTGTAAAGAAAACATATGAGAAATAGCAGGTCAGTTGGAAGTGATTACAGTGACTTAGGTGAGGGATGATACTTGCCTGGACTAGGTCGTTCACAGTGGAGAATAATTTACTCTTGCAACAAATGTTTATTGAAAACCTGTTACAAGATACTTTTCTAGGATATTTAGTTATAATGGTGAACAGAATCTCCTAATTCATGGGGCTGAGAGTCTATTGGTCTGAGGCAAAAATAGCAGCTAATTAAGCAAAATGGAAATA